ATGTGTGCCCTTTTGTGGCAAACCAAGTGTGGCCTCATCACACTTGCTATTTACCCCGACCCCTCTCTTTTGATGGGCTTATCCGACTCGGGCCTCCAATCCGTATCCTTTCATTGTCTCGTATATCCGTGCCTTATCTTTCTGGTTGACCGATTTCACTCGGGTTCAGTCCCTGTATGCATTTCACTCAAGGCGCAATTTCTCAGGGCCCTAGAAGCACATAAACTGCCGCTTCACTGAGCGGAGCGCTTAAACTCTGATTCCCATGCTTGTAGATAGCAGACCTTCCCTACACTGGTCGTCTCCTTGATTAAACCCATGTTATCTGAGCAAACTGTGAACGCCTATCTCTGGTCGCATGCGGCATCTCAAGTGGATTTAAAGTGCATTTTGACCAAAACCCCTAATTTCTATGATAGTGTGCTTATCCGTCTGCCCAGCTCCCTGACCGCAGGCTCCCTGACCGCAGGCTCCCAAAGTTGTACTGGTTTATTCAAAATGGCCATCACTCACTGACAACGTCTTCGCTTAATTGCCGAATACCCCTGCCCCCCACTTTCGTCCTCACAATCCCTTTTACTCCGGTTAGCGGCAGATCCCTGCTCCAGGCGTATCCTTTTTGCTGGTTTTGCTCTTTTGTTTTCCCCGATTTTGCTTAGGCAGTAGGCAAAGTTATCTCTAACTATACCTTCCTCCAATCTCCTGTTCATTAGATTTGTCTCCCTAAGGATGTCAATGGCCTCCCTAATCTTCCGCTTCCTTGTGCTGTCACCGTATGGAGCTTTCATTTCTGTTGCCTTCCAATTTATCTCGTCATGCGATGTGTTCCGCTAGTTCTGATCTTTCAGTATCCATTTTCCTGCAGAGCCTCTAATGTTCCTTGATTCGTGTGCTAATTTTTCTCCTTGCTTCGCCAATATATTTCTGTCCGCAGCCGCCGCATTATATACAGTAAACGCCCGAACAGTCCAATTTGTCTATCTTTTCATTTTGCGTTGGCAAACTGGCGAAAAGTGTTGATTTTTCCTTCATGACTATCTGAATATTCCATTTACTCAATATAGGTCGTAGTTTTTGAGTTAGTTCGCAGGAAGGCAGGCATGTCCACTTTTGTGAATCTATCATCGTCTTTACTGTTCTTTCGTAGTCCCTGTTCTGCCATCGGCCTTTCACGGCCCGTATGTTTATTTGTATCACTCCGTTTGGGTAGCCATTGCCGATGAAGATCCTAGTCAATTTATCCAGCTCCTTGTCCCAGAAATCTGCATCCGTCAGGCGTAGGCTTCGGATGATCATGTTCCTCATTATTCCAATCTTTAGCCTGTAATTGTGATGGGACCGGAAATTGAGTATTATTCCAGCATAGAACTTCTTTCTGAACAATTTCTTTTTTAGCGTTCCATA